GTATATACTGTTTGTACTGTTTGTTTTTATATAATAATTATAGAATAAAAATTAAATAGTTTCATAGTTTACATGTTTTATATACAACCGGAATATATATATTTTTTTAAAACAAAACCCTGCAATGTATTGGCCTTCGCTTTTTAATAACAAGCGTAATATATTGACATAATATATTATGTAATATATTAAGCGTAATACTACTCTTCTATAAAATCCTATAGATGCGATACTTTTATTAATTTTCTGCTCTTCTTCTTTTTTTTGTTTATAAGATCTTTGGTACAGTATAAGTAACACGCGAGAGATCTTTGGTACAGTTGGTACAGTATAAGTAACACGCGAGAGGGCGCCTCAGTTAAAGTCTCAGACAAAACGCGAGAAAACATGTGATTCGGCTAATCCAAAATGGCCGCGTCTGTGACAACACGCAGTATAGTTCGGGAGGCAAACAACGATTACTTGAGGTGAGGTTTGAGTCCAAAGTTTTTTGGTTGTTCCACGGACAAGTTGCCCTATAGTTCTGGTTGTCCGTGGGACATTTTGGTTGACTGGGGCAAGCGGACAAGCCTTATTACGAACACTGACATTTCATCATGGGGATTGGTGTCAATGCGACAGCCTGTCGCATTAGGTTAGCCTTAGGCTTAGGCCTAGGTCTAAAGACTAAAATCATTATGAATAATAGGCTTAGATATTTTTGGTATCGGAACAATTACAGAGGATTTCCATAATCTAGGGATAATCTGACAATCCAAAGACCATTGATACAGTAAGTGAAAAATAAAAGGAAGTTGTCTGTAGCATGACTTAATTAACCCAGGGAGATGTAACCCAGGCCTACCAGGTCCAGAGATACTACCATATCTGGACCAGCAGCCTTTTTAGTTTTGGTACTTCTTAATAAAGATTCAACATCAGACAAATTAAGGTTATTTATCCTCATCCCTAAACGAATTAGCTAGATTCAACCTAAGACTATCTCTCAAGTCACTGAAATCATGAGTATCAAAACGTGAAAAATATAGTACACGATCTCCTAGGCCCTGCGGCTGAGCTAGGCCTTGCTTGCAAGATTACTCTCTGCAACACAAGTACATACACTGTGTAACAAAGCGACCAACACGCCGCATTCTTTAAATTATTACACAAATTATTTAAATGTATTTGACGACAACACGAAATCACTGATTAAATTATTATTAACGATACTAAAGGTATCCTTTTTCGATCAACATCACGTCGCATCGGCCCTCGTGTTTTTGTGGGAAAAACCAAAGATACTAGAAACATAAGATAGAGTTCTCCACACAAAAAAAGTGTTCCACCAAAATGCATGGTGGGAATACAAACAATGGGACACCCCTTACGGCTGGATCTAAAAAACTTCACCCAAACTTTCGTTACCAAGTCGTCGCGTATTTAATTGTCAATTCTCAATTAAAAAATTGTACACAATTGTACAATTAGTACAATTGTACCCAGACAGTGACAACGGTGAATACATAATTCCTTAGCGGAGGTAGAAGTCTTTGCTATATATTATCCAAATAAAACACATTAAGCATATGGATCAGTATAAACAACAATATAGCGCAAAATCGTATGGCCGGACGCACTCTAGTGATATTGTTTTCCTCCATGTGAAAAAAGAAGGGCGCCGTGTGCGTCTGGATATACTTAGCAACAGAAGGGTGCCCTGTACTTCGGGCATTAAGTATAAAAAACTTGCATGGTTTAGAGTTCCTATATAGAGAGACTTGTGACATGAGACGCTGCTGGGTAGCCATCTTGGTGACTTGCATGCATGAGTGACCACAAAGCCTATGCTACAGTGTGGCGATTGCAAAAATAATAGACAATTGAAAAAAATAAATAAAAATATTAATAAGAAAATTTTATGTCATTTGATAGTAAATCTCTGTCAATGAACATGTGTTTGAAATTTATTACAAAATTCCAAAAGAAATTGATTCTCAATATGCTGTTATTAATTATTATATTACAGTACATGCAGTTTTTGCTTGACCAAAATTTCATAGTGCCTTAGCTAGGCCATTGCTAGGCGTACAACATCGCGTTTGCTCGGCTCATAAAATAGTAGGCGACAGGGCCTAGGCCTTTTCACTGG